TAGACTGTGTTGACCTTCCTTGTTCCAACTATAGGATTCACCCTGATCATAAGATCTCCCTCTACCGTATTAACCTCTTCCTCCTCGACCCCCTCCTCTTCCTCCTCTTCCACCTGAACCACAGCCCCCATCGAATGATTTATCATTTCCCCAACTGCCATCTTGATCTGCATCTCTATTTCCCATCCCACCGTTCTTGCAACCACCAAATCCTCCTTTGGAGTTCTCCCAACTATCCTTTTGATCTGTCCTACCTTTCGATTGATCTTCCACATTACCATCAGGTTTCTGACCCCAACTAAACTCTCAAACTTGTTTACTCCAGGAGGATTCACCATCCTTTTTGTTCCAAGAAGACCCACCATCCTGCTTACTCCAAGCACCACCACCTCTGTTGCCCCAAGAAGATTCACTATCCTTTTTGTGCAAAGAATCTCCATCATCCTGCTTATTCCCATTAGATCCTCCATCCTGCTTGCTCCATGAGGATCCCCCATCTTTCTTACTCCACGAAGAAGTGTCCTGTTTGGCCCAAGGTTTACTATCCTGATTACTCTACTTTGCTATCATATTTATTTGACAATTTATCATTATTTTGTTTACTCCATTAACTCTTTTGTTGGTCATAGATAGTATAACAATAAATACTATACTACTGTAATTCTCAATCTTAGCATTTTTCCTCTTGGTTATTTAATGTTCCAATAGGTTCAGTTGAAGAAGGAAAATGGCCAAACATCAATGATCCCACTTTTAATTTGTGAGAATTATTAAATAATAATAAAATTTAATTTGTGAGAATTATTAAATAATTGAATTTCGTTGGATTGATAAGTCACCTATCTTAATGTTGAATAATACTTTATGTATCAGCATATCATATGTCCTATTAAATAGGTTATAAATCTTTGTATTTAATTAAACTTATAATTTAATGAACAAATATTGCCATCTAGACAAATTTTGAACACCGCTGATGCTAAATGAAATTACTCTTTTCATAATGGCTTCTATTTTCCGGAATAGGGCTTTGCATCTCAAATTGAGGTAAATTTGTAATTACCGATGCATTTAT